ATACAAAACCTAAATGGTATCTGCATGCATGGGACCCACTAGGTTAAAATGAGCAATGTCCTGTATTCTGTTGTAATAAAACCCTGTCTCTCTCTTCCTTTTTTTGATTCTCTCACATTTTACCCAGTCCAATTATTGCATTCTATTTATGCTCTGTGCACACATTACAAGCTGCAGGAGTGAAAAAAATAATAGCATTATAAGGAAAATAATTAGTGGGATTAAACATTTATATTCATAATTTTAATTAAGTGTAAGTAGCACAATGTGCATAATGTAGTCGAATAGTGTTACATTATTGGCTTATTATTATTAATGTGACATGAACCACTGACATGAACCAAAGACAAAACTCATTTTAACTGCTTTTTTTAGATTTACAAAGCAACAAGTCATAAGCAGCAATAACATATGTTGATCATTAAAAAGAACTTTGCCAGCCTACACAGCTCAATTAGAATGCAAAACTACAATATTAGTGTGTAAAATTTTAATGACTGTAAGTTGAAATAAAATGCCTCAAAACTGAATAACTGCATTTCTACATTATTTAGATTAAAGATACCTAACAAGTAGTGATACAGAGTTGGGTTGAACTGGAGATAATTTATTTATAAAAGATCAGAGATCTTTTTTCCTTAATGTCTGTCATTAAACACTGTTTATACTGTGACTTTTTTTATTACCCTACCACTCTCTACAAGAACTTCTTTCCCATGCTGTCTCACTTCTTTTGTCATCTGTCTTTTTCTCTTGGTTAGGAGGTGAAATGTTGCCACACCCACCACCACCACAAAACTGAGGGCCAGTATCACAAGCCCCAGTCCCAGCAAATGAGAGGTTCCCCCTTTATAGAAGTTCAGCTGGTCCCACAGCCCCACAGCCAGGCAGCTGAAGCCGATGAGAGTTCCCCAAAATCCAAAAGCCAGCATGCAGGATCCACAAGACAGTTCAACGCCTCCAGTAACCACAGTGACGCCCGCCACTGACACAACACCTCCTGGTAAGGTCACGGTTTCCGATTTAGACCCGTATCTCACAGTAGAGGTGACATCTGATAAAGTTGAAGGATCAAGGGTTTCCATTTTGGACGCCATGGTCTGTTTTTATTGCTTGGTAGATGGCCAAGAGGGTTTTTTACAAGCAGCTTCTTCTCTCTTCTTTCTACGATATCACACATAGTCTTGATTAGAAAACCCCCCACTTTGCTTTCATGTCTGGTATCAGTTATGCAGCTTCAAGTTTAAAATAAATCATCCCAAGCTGTCGGTATAAACTTTGTATAATTATATACTGTGTCAAATTCCCATCAGTGTGTTTGAGCATTGCTTGAAATAACTGAACCTGTTTAGGCAGGCAACCAGAAGAAAATGTCCAAAGCTTAGGATCTGTATTTTTAATGATAGCCATACATATTATACACATTTCCTGAAAAAGCCTTAACTGATGACCTATGTGTATTTTGTGGCTGTAAAGTATAATATGCATCGATCAATTCACTGCAGGCTCAGTGAATTAAATGTAAACTAGCTCAGTACACACTTTTTTTTAAAGATTGGACATGTTTTAATCTGATAATCGAAACAACCTTTCACACACGCGTTTGTCACGTCAGGTTTTCTACCAGTATTTGTAACTGTTTTTTTAATTGAATGGACCTGAATATTAGGATATGAAAGCTTTTTATTCTAGAAATCCAAATAAATTGTTAATATTTGTCATTTTAGACGGCCAAAAAAGTCCTTTTTTTCTTCTTTTTTTTTACATTTTAAGTGTAACATTTCTTACCTCAGTCTTGATCCAGGAGCTTAGACGTCAGAGGAAACTTTGTAATAGTGAAGGTCCTTAAATGAAGTCTTAAAGTAAGTATCTTTTAAATAGGAAACTCTCTATGATTAGACACTAAAGGTGCTCCCGACTTCTCTCTGGACAGTGGGTGTAGAAATGGGCGCCAGCGGCACAGTGCTTTTCTGAAATACATCACCTACTCGAGGCCTTGCAAAATTGTGGACGCAATCATCAAGACTTCCGCCACAGCATGTTTGTTCCCCTCTTTCCTTGTGTTTAGTAGGAAGCTGTCGTCTGTCATTACGCGTCATTATGAGCCATTACCAGATATTTATCTGGAAACAACTCCCTTCCTCCTTTCCTCTTGCTTTCAGTCTTAAGATTTGAGTTGCGTCCCACCAAGGCACTGTTTGGACTAAGATTGTTTTTTTTTTCTTTAAACATTTTCCTGTTTGGCATTCCTATTTCTCGAATTATTTTCTCAGTGCTCTTACATCTCAAACTTTATACTCGTACTCAACTTTGAAATGTTATTGGGGAATTTCAATCCTGAGCCTGTCTATATTAAAACAGAATTATAGGTCAACACAAATTCAAATAAAAGATTAATTTCAAGACAACCTTGTTTCAGAGATCTTTTACCAAATGTAGATAGTAATTAATAAGGCTGATCCTTCATTGACACATTAAGTGTTGCAGATTTATAGAATACGTCAGTACTGACGTTTCACAGGTCAGGGCTGTAACACATGCGACGCTTGATACAGCCCATTAATACCATATAATGCTGCCAACTAGGAGGTTGTCACTGACCTAATTGTGGATATTTATAGTCATGTTATTTTCTGATACAAATAAACCTTCGAGTTTTCATTGTTTACGTTACTGTATGTGCACGTGTTCCTGCCTGTGAAAGAAATACAGATTTAATGTTGCAAAGCAATGTTAAAACTTCTTTCATAAAGTTCTGACACTGTCAGAATCATAATTCATCTAAGATGCCAAACACCCATGTTACCGATATTTTTACGCACTCTCTCCCCCGAGTGGAAAAACATCTCAAGAGTAGCTACAAATCCTTGCTCGTTCTGGCTCTAGCAATTAGCCCAAACAAGAGTAGAGATCACATGTCAGGGATTGTTCTGTAGAGAAGGGGTAAGTCAATTGACCCGTCACCCTTATAGGATGAAGACGGGGGTAATTGGCTATTCTCTGGCTTGTGTAGGAGAGGGCGGGGCTTGACTAATCCAGTTAGCAAATTATAGTTTAAACATAAAAAATGAATTATTGATTATCATACAGGGAAATACGTGTCCTAAATACGATAAGTGCATGCTGCTTTCATCTCTGGTGTTTATGTGTGTTTCTTATACGTGTGCATAACTCATGAAGTCTCCTTTACACATGCTATGTTGGTCTGAAATAACACCTAAGACAATCAAGATAATACTTTCGCTCTAATTAAAGTAGACACAAAGTAAACAGACTAATGACGTAAATGTGGCAGCCAAAGTGTCATGAAGTGAGTTTGTTATACTGATAATTACCTGATAGCCTCCAATGAGAACATAGCTGTTGGCAATGAATGTGGAAACGTCAAGAAAAAGTAAATCGGAGCTGAGTTACAAGAGACTAGACAGAAAAAATTCAAGTGAAGTCATCGGTGTGCGTTTTGTTAGTGTGCAGTTCAGTAAGCCTTTAAAACATGAAAGTACCTTATGGCGGAGAAAAGAAAATGTAAGTCATGTCTGCGACTATTAATGTTGAGATCAAAGAAATTCATACAGTCAAAAAAACATGTAAAAAAAAAAACAATGTTTAGCTAGGTAATATAAACCTAAACTAGTGACTCAAAGGAAAGCAGTACTGTAGGACAGGAAGGAGGACGTGCACAGACGGGGTCGGCAGTGACAGGGATATTAAGGGCGCAGGTGGGATTGGAGGGAGTTAAAATTGCCTGGACAGATGGTGGAGTGGCTTTCAGTGCTCAATCACACCTATTGAAGGTCATAACTAAAACAGCAGACACCCACCTTAAGCTTTGTTCACAGTTTGCTAGAAAGCACCTACTCACTTTTTGGTGAGTTTACCAAAGTAACGTTTGGCTCCCAGAGTGAACTGTAACTTACAGTTAGATGCAATAAACTTCTGTTATCAGTTCATATTCAGCAATTTAGTACTAGTAAATTAATGAGTACAAGACTAACAGGGATAAATTGATTCCCAGAGTTCATAAGTAATTTAGCAGGAGTATAAACGTACACTAGAGCTTTCCGGGCTTTTCAAGCAGACAATAGATACAATTAGGATCTGGGGTTGCAATTTGGTCAAATGCTCATCCATCTTAAATCCCGCATTAACAGACTTAACCTAGTCAACTCCTGTAGGATGTGATTTCCCCGCCCGCCTATATCTTTCACCTTCTTACTGTCGAGAGAGACACTCGGTTCCTCAGCCATCATCTGCTCACACAACACACAGGTAAGGTTTCTGCACATTTTGCACATATTAACAAGCAAGTTAATATGTGCATTTAACTTTATTAATTTAAAGTTAAATTAATTATATCACAATTCTAAATTATATTTCAGATTTTTGCTTGGTTTTTGACATCGAGAGAAGACATCAAGCCAGTAAGCAATAATAGTTTGGAAAAAGAAAAGTCATTTGACACAAGAGAAGAAAGCCTATCAAGTGGCATATCCCAGCCAAGCAGTTTAACACATTGCAAAGATATTAAAAAGAAACTACAATGGGAAATGCAACCAGTAGCGCGATATCAAAGGAGATCCTGGAAGACCTGAAGCTCACTACAAAATTTACTGAGCAAGAAATCTCCCAGTGGTACGAGAACTTTCAGAAGCAGTGTCCATCAGGACGCATCTCACCAGGGGAGTTTGAGGAAATCTATGCGCGCTTCTTCCCTGACAGTGATCCTAAGAGCTACGCAAGGCATGTGTTTCGCTCCTTTGACACCAACGATGACGGCACTTTAGACTTCAAGGAGTACATCATTGCACTACACATGACCTCCACTGGGAGGACAACCCGAAAACTGGAGTGGGCCTTCTCCTTGTTTGATGTAGACAAGAACGGATACATCACCAAGGCAGAAGTGAAAGAAATATGCCAGGTGAGCGTGGTTCCGTTTATAAAAGCGACATTGATGAATGGATGAGTGGCTTTAATGGTTCTAGTGTGACAGCAAGCAGTTAATGTTAACTCATATCCCGTCAGAAAGAGATTAATTTTAAACATTGATTTTTTTTCTTATTCTGGTTTTTATTAATCCCCAAGCCCCCAAAAACCTAAAGTGTTATTTTTCTTTTACTATAACAACTTTGTAAATCAGAAGTTCAAACTATTCTCTCAGTCGTGGTTTCAGTGAGGAGGGAACAGAGATGTCAGATAAAATTTATTGGATTAACTAACATAAGGCAGCATAATGCAAAACCTTACATTAATGCCTGTTATTGAATCTAATGTTTTTGCTTTTTTCTATGTTTAACTGGTTTAACTCTGTAACATTAGCTACTGAGGTCAACTAGCATTATTAATGGATTATTTTGTTAGGTTATCTCCTTATTTTGTCCACGTTCTGCAAAATCTGTTAAAGCTGTGTTGCTGTTAACTAAGAATTTACTATTCTTCTCATGGTATGTAGGTCTCAGTCTTAATTGGCAGCCCTATTAGCCAGTCTATTTGAGCCTAAAACTCCTGATAATCTTGGCGATTACAGGTTTAGCCTGCAGACAATATAGGGAGCCCTACTCTTGAGCAGAGCTACTCTTAAGTTCCACTCCTAAACAAGAGTATACTCATCATCTCGATTCTAATCCACGGCTGTTTTACTTGTGAGACTGCCACTGTGGACTGAAGACTGTACTATAATAAATGTTGTGAAACTTATGGAGGTTTTACACTTTTCTATATTCTCTCTTCGGACAAATGATATGGAATTGTAAGAGGTTTAGACAGATGAGCCAAGAATCCAGCTGGCATTGTAATGGGATTGAATTCCTGGCCAACTGGCTTGAGTCCATAAGCACCATGTTTACAGCACACTGCATAAAATAGCTGCATTTTAAAGCCCCGATAGCAGTTCAACAACTTACTATAAGATGAGATTTTTTCCGGTCTGTAAAACACTGAGGTAGAGGTCGACAAATACAAATTTACTTTATGGTAAAAGGATACACTGCCTCCATTTTCCAGAAAGTATTCTTATGTAATGTATAAATAATATGTTAAATTAGAAAACATAAGTGAAAAAGGTGGAAATGCCTCAAAACCAGCCCGCAAGTACACTGTTCTGACAGGGTAGACAAATCCTTAAAGACTGCAAGTGTGATTTATTTTAAGGAAACCAGCTGCTTAATTTTATTTTTATGATTTCACAACCTTGATGTCTGTCAGCATAGATCACAGTCTGAAGTCTAAACTCTACTGACCATAACATCAGAGCAGGGGCGAGATTGAGGGATAGTCCAGGGAAAAGCGATGACATCTTGGTGTTTGGCCTGTGGCCTGAGTCTTGGCACTAATCCATGTTAATCTAGGTGTCTTAAATGTGGGAGATGAGTGCTCCCTCTCTAAGTGGGACACAAACTTAAAGGCCTGAACCTAAAGTGCACACTCAGGAGGTTTACACTCAGTTAGTCATTCAGTCCACTGCAGATCAACTGAGAGATGACAGGAGATGCTATGAAATGCTGTAGCTTGTTTGAATATTTATGTATTCGTAATAAAAGGATTTTGCAATTTGTATAAATAGTCTATGTTTAAAAACTATAAAAAAAAATACTGGCCTCCATATTTTCACTACAATACCAGTAACTCCAAATATGCACAAGACATTAATAAATTAACTGAAGAAGGCTGTTAGCATCCTCAGTTTTACTAGTGCTTACATATTCTTTGGTCAGTATCCATCTGCTTTATGTACTGTGCTGGTGATGAGAGAAATGATGCAGCATTACTATCCATCTTATACCCAACCCCCTCTCAGGCCTTGTTTAAGCTGATCCCCAAAGAGGACCTTAGCAAACTACCAGATGATGAGAACACACCCGACAAGAGAGCCAACAAGCTGTGGAGCTGCTTTGAAAAGAAAGACAATGGTAGGACGTGTAGTGGTAGTGCTTCTGCTCAGAGGGAGATAATATCAATGGAAGCCTCTGCTACCTTTCTTTAGCTGACGTTCCAACATCCTGTGGGGGAGATTACATTTTACAATCAGCTGTTTGGCTTAACAGTAATACAAGTATTAATCCACCTGGGGGCAAGTCTCCACTTACAGGATCACTTGTGTCACGCACGCTTTATTACAAATCATTGGCCCAAAAACATCTTAAGTTATACATCACATGCTACTGTGTACCAAGCACACGAGATAAGAACATGTTGTTTAGATAACAATAATCCATCCTCGTGTTATCTCACTCTCCTGGCTTGTTTTGTACTTATACGTTTCTCGTCTTAACTTATTTTTTCCTCCCTTCACAGATCGACTGGCTGAAGGAGAGTTCGTTACAGGAGTGATCGAAAATGAGAATGCAATGCGTCTGATCCATTACGAACCAATAAAACATTAAATCCCTTCTCATTCCTACGTTTCTCCTCTTTGCACCCTTTTCTGTTTTTATTAAACTATTTTTCTTTTTTTTTTTTTAAAACACACTCTTCCCTCTTCTTTCTCTCTCCGTATCAGATGTTTTCTCCGTCCTCTTCCTTAAATTCTCGGCCCCTCTGTAAATAAGCATTCCTACAGTTTCTGCACATTTGTGTGTTACACATACTTATACACATTAAGTATTATACTTAATTATTAGCTTGTTATGCTTTTCTTGTTTTTTAGAAATTTGAAATGTCCTCCAGTATTGTAATTTACTCACTTGTACAAAAAAATTAAAGATTTTATCATTCATCTGGGCTTTGGAAATCTATTTATCTTCTCCTGGAAAACAATTAAATCTCCTTTGACCTAGAAACATACTGCATATTATAATGCTGGTAGTTGATAAAATTTTCACTTTAGGTTTTTTCAGTTGTATTAATCCCGGACAGTAAATCCAGGATTATCTCAAATGTATAACCTACAAAAATTAAAGGTAAATTTAACTACTTGTTTTTGACTTTTGTAAAAAAAAACAAAAAAACTCAGTACTTATACAATTTTATGTCAAACATAGTATATGACAGGAACTAAATGCAGTTTTTTTAGAGCGTTGTTTTCCTGAAACTGGTGTCTCGGTGTTGCAGATATTAGTGTGTGCAGGCATTTCTTTCCAACTTTCATCCTAACCCCCCCACATGCTGCTCCTCTCTTGCTTCACTCTCCTCCCTCTATTCCTCCTCCCTTCCATCCAACTCGGGATTACTGGTTTACACATAATCTTCTGTTCAACATCAGAGAGCAGACTTTTCAAAATCTCTGTAATCTTTCCATCTCTATGGGTTTGTCTGTGCATCTCCAGAGAGGCTGTGCTTGTAGTAGCTTCTGCTATACATGAATTGCATTAAAAAATTTTGTCTCTCAAAAGTTTCTGACCAAAGAAGTTTAAAAAAGGAAACATGTTCATGAGCAGCATGTTTCTCTATAGAACGTGCTGATCTTTCAGGAATACACGCATTGTCCTCTGAAACGAACTGATTGCTAAGATGATGGTTTTCAAGTTAATATATAAACAATAGAATAGAGGAAGCATTTCTTTCCATTTGCAAACAAAGTCATACATTTCTTTCCTACTATGAGGCACTGAGAAATACCCAGAAAAATGCAGGCTTGCATGTGAACGAGATACATACACAGATACATGCGTTGTAGGCTTAGCGTTTTGATATGTGTGGATTTCTTTGGACCTTGAGCCCAATCAGTACATCCCATGTTCACAGAGAGTCAAAGTGGACAACGAGAAAGAAAGGATGTGTCTGCTTACATTGACCTTCTCCACCTTAGTTAAAGTGTCTTTCCTTTTCAGATTTTCAGCCCTTTCAGTTGTTACGTGTTACTGATTCCCTAACAAGGTGAATCAACTCGGTCCATGGCTTCCCCCATCTCATCCATCTCTCTCTCACAGTCCTCACACCCCTCAGGGCCACAGCCTCCTACTAAAACCAAAGTTGGTACATCCCCATTTCCCACTCCGACTACGCTGCCATTTGGAGCCCACGCCACATCAATCATCCCATCTGGACATTGCAATAGGCCACTGACAGAGTAGAGCCCTCCCCCTGGGACCACCTCGTCATAGGATGGAGCGTGAGTGGTGGCTCTGGCTTCCTCTAAACGTAGTCTCTGTCTGCGGCGAAGCTCAATGATGGTCTTTGTGTATGAGTTGAGCGTGACGACAGCAGCTCCCATGCAGCAGCTGAAGGACACCCAGGCGAGACTAGGAGCAGGGAATTTAACATAGTTAGGAGATGAGAAATATTAAGCTTGTAGTGAAACATTAAGTCTTGACGAAAGCTTAAATCATATCTGGCACCTACGCAAATGACCAGCCGTAGTCCCAGGATTGAGGCCTCCAGTCCTTGGGGCCCACAATTACTGTCATCTGAAACACTGTGGTGTACATCATATGTGCCACCATCCCAAGAAGACCTACACAGGAGGTGAAACAGACAAAATGAATCCAACATAAACCGGAAAGATCAGAGGAACATGCAAAAAAATAGATATATTATATCTGAATATGCAGAGGCGGGTTACAAAATAATGTAAAAGTGAGCATTAGACTGAGTCTGACCTGATAACACAGTGCAGATAGCTGCATAGGCATTGATTTTTAGTGAGTGCATCTCTTTATGGGAACACAAGACTTCCAGCCACATGAGTAAGAACCCCATTCCCAGCAGACCGATGTATGTAAACTCAGAAATAACTGACAGCCAGAGCACACCTGCAACATGTCAACAACAGTGTGAGCTCACTGTCACAAGCTAACTTTTAATCAAATGGCAACATGGCGATATTAAGGCAGGAGACTATTAAGCAGTTCACAGCTCACCTTGAGTTTCTCCTGGAGTTAAGTCTATAAAGCTGCGACACTTCTCCCCTGCCAACAAAATGTCACGATTTAAGGATAAAGTTTTGTAGTGGAAAGTGAAAAACATCAGCTTTGATTAACAATCCAAGTTGAAACCAAACGGCAACCAAAAAAATGAACTGCACAGGTGTGCCTCTTACCATCACTGTGTTTTTCACAGCTTTCCCAGAAGCCCGTGTGGAAGTATCTAAAAGCAAACTTGTCTTCGCCCGTCTCCCATATGTAGTGGACAGCGTTGGCCAGCTGCCTTTGTCTGATCTTAGCCAGCTCCTCTCTCCTGGCTGGAGATAGCGTGCGGTTGTATGGGTTCTGAGTGGGACTCTCTGAGAGGGTGACAGTGGAAAAAAGCTAATTTAAGGTTCGGTTCTGCACCTGCTCATTCTTAATGTGGTCAGAGTATAATCCAGCCTTCACTAGGGGTACGTTCTGTCTCCGTGTAGTTTCTCACCATATGATGCAAACATTTAACAAATTCAGGAAATGTTGTTGGTGAGGCGTGAGTATTAACAGCGGATCGACTGACTGTCAAACACATAATGCAAGAAAAGGCAGTGAGAACATATAAATGAGGAGGGAGTTAGACAGCAGTATAGCGGGTATCAAATTGAGGGGTAGGCATGTAAAAGTATGTGTCGTTAAAAAGAGAATGGTTAGGAGTAAACACAAAAGTCCTGCAAGTCTGCTAATTATACCGGTGCCTCAAAATCAGCAAGCCTCTGTGTGCATGCAGTCTTGTCAGTGTTCACTATGATGTGCCAAACACATCCTCAGGTTTAGAAACATAAGGGAGAGTTAAATGGACGCACTGTACATAGTAAAAATGAAATATTTCTGTGTGAGTTCACAAAGCACGTGTAGTGTCAAAGATGATTGTTTTGTGCAATAAGAGCTGTCGACGACTAAACCTGTAGAAGCAACCTCACACCCCACAGATTAATACTAAGCCATAACTGAGTACACTGTGGAACAAAGGTATTGGGGGGAAAGGAGATTAAAAGTAAGGACAATTGCTTTCTAACAGTTCAGTGTCAGAAAGCCTCATCCACTTTATTGTGTAAGCCGATCCAGCACCGCAAACAATCTCAGTGTGCCTGAGGAGCAGATTTGAATTCTCTAGATACCATTTAACTTAGGATAGACGCATAGCCTCAAAAAGCATCTAGGCATGAAGGTTCAATCTTAAACTTTAAAAACGTGGTTTCACATAACAGTGTTACCTAAGAGTCCACCTGTTGAGCTTTTTTTTTTCAGCAGAGCTTTCTTTTCAGCAAACTTCCCCCAGATGGAGTTTACTTCAGATGAAGCAGATGGAGTTTGCTTCAAGCAAAGCTGCCTCCATCTGCTTTACATGAAGCGTTCCTGAACACTGAGAACCAGAGAGAAGCTCCAGAAAAAATTAAAATTATTTTGACAAATCTGTCTAATCAAATCTCATCTATTGTCTATAAATGATAGAAATCCCTAATTAAATCCTATCTTAGATTAGATTAGATTAGATAAAACTTTATTAATCCCTCGGGTAGGTTCCTCTGGGAAATTTGTTTTCCAAAAAGCACAGCACCGACAGAAGTTACAGAGTTACAGTATTATATATATATATATATATATATATATACACATATATAAATACAAAGACATATATAGATAAAATATACAAAGGGGATAAATAGAATAAATAGGAATAAAAATAAAAATAAAAATACAAGTGAATTGCACATTTCAAGTATGGAGTCTATTGCACCGCTGATTATTAACAAGAAGTATTGCACAGTGAAGTGAAGAGGCACTACAGCTTAGTTGTTCCCCCCTCCTTTGTCCTACTGTTTCCCCTCCCTCTCCCCTCCAGAGAGGAGTTAAACAGTTTGATCTTATTGTATTGCGTTGGCGATTATACAACCTACTGCAATAAAACGCAATGAAAGACAGCATGTTTGCTTTTGAAGGTGTATCATAAGGCTGTGGCTATGATTGGCAGTACCTTTCTACTTACAGTTAAGACTTTCAAATTATCTCAGACTCTTCAAGTGGCTAAATGCCAAGATAATATCACAACTGTTTACACAAGAATGAATCCAAGAATTTTTTCTGTTACAAGCAAATTGTGACATGTCTGTGAACATGATGCAGCAGACTCTGGATTAGTCACCAGTATATTTTCCCAACTTCTGTGCAGCACAGAAGTCGACTCAGATTTGATTGTTTGCTTTTTCTTTTAGTCCAAGTCAAAACCTGATGTTCTTAAATACTCCTGAACACTACTATGAAGCATAAGCATTCCCACATGGTTCCACATTTCATGGAGTGTCTAAAGGTCAAAGGACGATGCACTTTGACACTGAATTTCTGTTTACACCCTAAAGATTTAGTGATGCTATTTCAAAACTATACTATAAAATATGATGACTCACAGATCATAAAAGCACAAGTCTTAATAAACAGGTACACGATAAAAGGTTAAAGGTTTCCAAAAAGCAATCCAAACATACAATGCGATGAAAAAAATATTTGTCCCCTACTGATTTCGTTTTTTGTTTTTTTTTTGCATTTTGGTTAGACTAAGAGGACCTGAGCCAATAAAAAAAGAAATACAGTTTTTAATTGATGATTTAATTTATTAAAGGGAAAAGGTTATCCAAACCTACCTGCCCTCATGTGGAAAAAGTAATTGTGCCCTAAATCTAATAACTAGTTGTGTAACCCTTGGCAATGAGAACTGCAATCATCGTTTGAATTATGAACTTTGACTAGGCCACTTCAAAACTTTTATTTTGTTTTGGGGGGTTTTGAGCCATTACTGATATGTTTTTATTGTACTGCTGCATAAGCAAAAATTCAAACTGATGGCTGGACATTCTCCTTAAGCACTTTCTAATAGAGAGCAGAATTTATTGTCCCATCAGTTACACCAAACCGTCCAGGTCCTGAAGCAGCAAAGCAATCCCAGACCATCACACTACCACCACCACGTCTGACTGTTGGTGTGATGTTCTATTTATGAAATGCTGTGTTAGTTTTACTCCACATGTAACAGGATTCAAACCTTCAAAAAAGTCCCAGCATTGTCTCATTAGTTCACATAATATTATCCCTAAGGTCTTGGGGATCATCTAAAGTTTTTCTTTGCCGAATGAGAGATGAGCCCTTGTGTTTTTCTGGTCAGCAGGAGGTTTTCTCCGTGGAACTTGGAACTAACACTGACCTTAACTGAGAGACGTGAGGCCTGCAGTTCTTTAGATGTCGTTCTAAGTTCTTTTGTGACCTCTACAATGAGTCGCTGATGTGCTCTTGGAGTAATTTTAGTAAACTGGCCACTCCTGGGCAGCTTCACCACTGTTCCAAGTGTTCTCCATTTGTAGATAATAATCTCACTGTGGTTCACTGGCACTCCAAAGCCTTAGAAATTGCTTTGTAACCCTTTCTAGACTGATAGATGTCAATGTGTTGGCTTTTGAGATCTTTTAGCCTACTTCACTTTATTGACAGGATCTATTTAAATGATCTCTTGATTCGGGTTTTGATCGCTTTTAACAAGTGAAATTAGCATCTGAAAACTGCATTTTGTGTTTACTCTGGTTATCTTTGTATAATATATTAAAGTTTGCCTGATCTGAGATATTTAAGTTTAACAAATATTCAAACAACTAAGAAATCAGGAAGGGAGTAAATTCTTTTTGACAATGACACTGTAAGTGTATGTACAATACATTAACAGCAAATAAATACAGAACTCCTTTGGATATGTTGAGTTTCCTACCTGTGGTGTAAGGCTCACTGTTGTTCTGACCACAGTTCTTCATTTTGACAGGCGACAGGCAGAGGGGCTTGACCACCTTGTGAGTGCCCTCACACCAGTAGGAGGTGCAGAGAGCCAGGATAGAGAGGGCCAGAGCCAAAGAGGTCAAGGTGAGGGAGAGCAGGGAGCGAGAGCGACGGGACATGCGTTCCAGCATGGCCACGCGGGAGAAGACGGAGGTACGGGTGGGGTCAGATATAGAGAGAGGAAGGTCAAAGTAAGACAAACAGGGGACAGAACGGGACAAGGCACACGCGAATAGCAGGACAGAAGGTATGAAAACAGCCACAGATGGAGCTGAGAGGGTGGGACAGATGCTTTGTGGGGGTTTTAAGAGGTTATGGGCGGCCAGGTTTGAAAAGAAAACAAACAAATAAAAATGTGATGTAACAGTAAAGAAAGAAGATAAGAAAACAGATGGGGAACGATATTGTAAAGTCAGTGGGATTAACAGAAAGAAAGATAAAGAAAGAGAGAGAGCAGGGAGCACGACAAGATGCTCTGATTTTGATACATGTGGGAAAGAGGGACAGAAGGAACAAAAAAATGAACAAGAGGAGATTTAGGTGGATGATTTGGGCACAGTGGGAGAGAACCGAGGGATTCCAGGATATTACTCTTTGTTGCCCTGACTTCTTCAGTATGAGGAGCTATTGATTCCTGTGGGAACAGATACAGACATGCGTCCTCTGAAATCAACACTCGAAGCCCTTTTTTCTGTATTAGATCAATTCAACTGTATCAAAAAAAGCATCTACAAATACTAGCATTTATTAATAAAACTTGTATGTCTAAAGAGGACATCAAATAGATTCCTGAACTTATTATTTTGCAAAAAAAAAGTTAAATGAAATTGTGAGCAAGTGAGCATAAAAAAGAAAACAGAGGGTAAAAGGAAATTGCCCATATAATGAAATCTAGCTTTACACTGTCAATCACTGCCTGAAGTCACATAAGTCCTCCAGCTGTTTAAAGGGGGGTTGTGAAAGGCTGAGTGATGTGTACTTTCCTGTGACCCCGGCTAACATCTCTGTGCTTCCTGATTAACGCACTCAGGCCCGAGCCTGCCGCTCATTATAAACTGTGGGCCTTAAGTGGAAGGCACGATGCAGGGGAGCAAAACACTAGATTACTTTTTTGATGAAATTATCGATAAGCCAGAGATCTAAATGAAATTTTACACGTAATCCCTGGAAATCTGCTTTAATCTGTTTTTGTTAGGTGTGTTTTAGTGTGAAGTACACTTTGACCATGTCTGCTGCCAATCTTTCTCTCATGCAATGTCCCCCTGTCAGCTCACAGGCCCTGAAACACAACACAGATTAAATCAGGTGAATGTAGCACATCACTCATCCCTTCGCATGGTTTCTGTCATCTGTACTGCTGGAAATAAAACTCCATCAGAATGATAATACGCTTAATGACCATTGGAGTGTTACTGAGGCAGTTAAAGCCAATGCTCAGCAGAGATAAGGCTTTCCTAAATACTTGCATTGCATTTATTCTCAGATGTACATTATGTCCTTTCACAACTGCACATCTTTTAAGCACTGTTTGTTTAGATTACCGCTCAGTGCGTCACACCATCACAGAGATGCCAGTTTAATTAATTCAGCACTGAAACAATTACCCCACAAAGCACCTTGATAATCTGTGTGAAAGTCTACCTCTGCATATTACCGATGGTTTAACAGCAGCCAGTGACCAAGTATTGATATTTATAAGATTATGTGTGAAATGGTTACTCTTAGCATGAACCTTACCATGTCGACTGTTGCTAAGACAATAAATATTTTCAGCCTTTACACGTCAGTAACTAGCTGATGCATCATTTTCCAGTTTGCTCAATTTTTGCAGATGTCGATCCAAAATAAGTCGTTCCACAAATGACTTCAGAACAAATTATTTTTAAATAAGTAAAATACCTACCAGACTTTGTTCTCGCCCTCTGTAGTCTTTCATGTCCATCATAAAACATATTTCACTGCCTTGCAGTGAACTTACATTGTGGTTTTTCCTCTGCCTTCTTCATAAGCCCTTAATCAAAAAGCTCGTTCATAACTTTAGTTCAGCTGCTCCATCTTGAATACCCTCTCTGTTGCTACTCTCTTCATCTTTTCTCTGTGCATCAGCTTTCCTCCTCCAGTGTGAGCATCAGTGGCCCTTACCTCTCCGGCTGCAAGCCCCATGTAATCCTCCTCCGATGGAGATGCGAACCGATGGAGTGACTGCATGTCTGTCTCCAAGCCACTCTACTCCCTTTACTGTCTTTCTTGGTAATTTATGAGACAAACCCACCCTGAATCATGTAATCCCTCTAAGTCCATCTGTTACTATAGTGCCCCCTCTCTTCCCGTGTCTGTCCCTTTTCAGCGGTGGCCTTCACTAACCCTCCCTAAACTTTAATCAGCAGTTTAAGTTCCACTGCATTACAGCTCTATTTTATTTATTTTTATTAACATTATAGTACCTTATATACATTTCCCCAGATTAGCAACAGCACAAAAAACAAGAACATTGTCAATACTTTTATGATATACACAATAATTTATTTACAGTGTATTTACAAAAAAAACTGTAAGACAGCAAACAGCAAAAAGGGGAAAGACAACACTATGTTGTCGTGTTTGTGAAGTTAAGGATGGGGATAGGAGGGAAAATGTAGTTGTAGAAAGCAGCTAACCCCAGGCTTGAGATTTACAATAATGTAGAATCAGCTTGCCATCACTTCCAAAACACTGAAAGACAAAGAGACGGGAATACAAACGTTGAAGTTAAACTGTCAAACACAGGAGTGAGCTGTCAACAAAGTCTAAAATCAGCGTTAACTGCTGTTGTGACATCAGAAAGGACCTTTTAACTAGATATTGATCTAGCAGTGAGAGCAGAGAGGTGATCAGCTAACCACTGATCTAGATTTTGACGTTTCTACTGTTACTTGTTAAGACATTTACCAGTGGTTAAGGATTTAAGATTATGTCACAGAAGGCTTGTCTCTTATTGCACCCTCTGCTGGTAGAAGCTCTGCATGACCTGTCCAGTCACACAGGCTGAACCTGCAGAAACAGTTAGGTCTATAAGTTTCATACGTTTTTGGACATTGACTGTTTTCTCCCCTCTGTTAATTTTGCATCTATACTCCACCACAGTGGATTTTAAATCAAGAAAACAAGATGTGATTGAAGTGCAGATGTCCAGCATTAGTTTAAGGCAAGCCTATTCAAATGGCGGCCCGCGGGCCAAATGCGGCCCAGAAGCAACCTGCGAGTGGCCCTGCCTGTGGTCCTAGCAGAAACACAGAGAAAACGCAAAAAATTAAAAATTCCTACAGCGTAGTGTAGACTGTAAATGCAACACTCCTAGTAGCCTAGCAATATTTAACCCACAATGCACCGTGATGTAAACATATTAAACAATCATCGTAATATATGATGCGACAACAGCATGTCTTTCTCAGTCCAAAAGCGCAAAATTGACAATGAACCCTGCCTGGACTGACAAATACTTATTCATTTTACTGCCAAATCCAAATGCCAAACCAATGTGTTTAATTTGCAGTGAGTGTGTTGCTGTATTTACGAAGGCACCACAATGACAAACACCAGACTTTCTACACAAACTTTCCAGAGCAATCTCAGGAGAGGGCTGCAAAAGTACAGTTTAACTGCGAGTTTAATAATCTTACAACCGGAGTTGTACTACCATGGTGAGGGTCCTGTACAGTCCAAGAGAGAGTTGCAGCAGCTTTCCTTTGTGTTTGCTTCTTGGCGAAGAAGAAAAAGCCTTTCAAAGATTCTGAAACAGTGAAATACTGCATGCTGGCCGTGGTGGATGCGGTGAAAAGTGACGAAAAAATTAAAGTAAGTTTGACATCTGCTATTAAAAACGTACCCCCTGTCAGACAGTTCGTAGAGTTGAAGTTCTGGCGTCAGACGAGTTTGAAATGCTGTTAGATGACCTGAGGAAAACTGATGTAATATCTATAGCAGGAGATGGGTTCAAAATGTTTTTTTTATTATTATTATTTCAAATGTGCAAAAAAAAATAGTTTAGTTATAGTTCCCCTTTTTTTAATGGACCTTTTGGTGTGCATTTGTGAGAGGTCACCAGATTTACAGGGGAAAAAGGAATAAAAAAAATTACTTGTTTTTCAATACAGTTGTGTGGGTTTGAAATTTATCATGATCTGCTGCTTACTGGCTGCAAAAAAATATCTGGCCCAGATAAATTCCTCGGTTTGAAAATCTGGCCCAACTAACTTCTTAGTTGAATAGCCATGGTTTAAGGGGTTCAACAGAAGTTTTCATTAACTGCCTAGGAATGACAATGATTTTTATACAAAGACTTCCAGAGTAGTCACCAGGTGAAGCGGGTTCCCTTGTTATTTAACGACAAATTAAGTAGATAAAAGATCTGGAGTTATTTCCAAGTGTTGAACATGCATTTGGCAGCTTTTCACTGGAACTGTTGATAAGATGTCCAAACAGTAGTTCATGCAAGTAAAGGAAACTATCATTAGGCTGGAAAAACAAAGTAATGCCATCAGAGAGACAGCAAAAAATTTAGGAGTGGTTAAGTTAACAATCTGGCTCATTCTTAAAAAAGGAGGAATTAACTGGTCAGGCAACACCAAATGGCCTGAAAAAACACAGACAACAACTGAAGTGGATAAAGCCGTAGCATTGTTCAGGTCCACAAGCAAGAGACAGCTTCATAAAAAGGAATGTAGAGGCTTTACAATAACATGTAAACCACTCAAGAACAAGAAGGTCTGATTAGATTCATTTGTATCAGAACAATGGGAAGAGAAAAGTATGGAGAAGGAAAGAACAGCTCACGAAGCATATGACATTATCTGGTGGAGGAAATGCCAGTGGAAGCTGGGCACTGGTGTTTACTGATGATGTCACTGCTGGTAGAAGGAGCAGGACAAATTGTGAAGTGTGCAGGGTTACACACTCTGCTCAGAGTCAGCTAAATGCTTCAAAACTGTGCAGACAGCACTTCACAGTCCAAATGGATAATGACCCAAAACGTACTGCAAAAGTGACTCAAGAGTTTCTCACGGCCAAGAAATTAGATATACTTCAATGGTCATGTCAGTTGCCTCATGTCAACCCGATAGAGCAGATTTTCAGTTATTGGTTGTGGAGAGAATCACAATGAAGCGGCAACTGGCTGCAGTAAAGGTCAAAGCGCTTAAGAGAGGAAACACAGCATTTAGTGAGGTCTCTGTGGTAGAGCTCAGGCAGTCTCTGACTACAAAGGATTTTCTTTCAATTACTAAAAACAATACTTATATTTAAAATGATGTTCATTTGTCCAATTAATTTTGCGCCTCTGAAAATGGATTCTGTATTAAAAAAAACAAACAACAAAAACAACAACAAAAACAAAAAAACTCTTGAGTTAAAGCTGAAAGTCTGCACTTTAGTCACATTTTGATTGTTTGAGTTAAAAATTAATTGAGCTGATGTACAGAGGCAAAAAAAAAGTGTCCAAAGACGTTTGGACCCAGTTAAATACTTGCCTAACACTAGTGCTACTGATGTAATATTTCAGTGAAGACCAACTCGGTCTGTAACTCCAGACTGTGCGCTATTAAATTAATGAAACAACAGGGAACATAATGTTGTTGATAAACTGTTGTCTGTGTGTGCTGCCACATTTAAAACTGTGCATATACTCACATCAAAGAGGACCCCTACTTCTTGATCCGGTGAGGGGGCAAAAGACTGGTTAACATAGATGAACTGAGAAAAAAAAAAAAGATTTAGTTTTTAAATCGGTTTTTAAATCATGTCCATTATAAGACTTCAGAAATTAACAAGCTGGTAGAAAAAATGTCATGCTTACTAGTTGTTCATTGGCATCAAACTTGAGGAAGCGAGATATGAATTGTGAAAGAGACTGTACTGTTCTCCCCCTGTCCACTGCCCACTTCTTTGTTTTCATTATAGGAGTGTCTCCCACTGCCTTCAACAGCACATCGACTATAAAAATGAAGAAAACAAAACTGAAAGTTATTCAACAGTGTTGCAACGCCGACTGGCACAGGCAAATCTCAACTTGAATATACAGTGGAATTTCTGGAAAGGTGCAGTCACTGATGCATAGCCACTACATTATAGCATGGTGGAAAAACAAAAATACTGTAAAGGCCCCAAGTAAACATCCACCTATGCAACTAAGCCAGTGCTGCACAGAGTTCAAAAATGTTACTGTATTATTTTCCCCCAATAGTGTTTTGGTGAAATATCAAACACTCCCCTGTGGAAATTTTAATTTCATATTGCTCTAGGTGTTGTTGTTTTTTGTGATGTGTTTAATGTGGAATGTGCATAATAACCGCCTTTAACTTCTTGTCTTCGTGTGCTTTCTCGTGTGCTTTCTCATTCAGCTCTCATTCAAAAAAAAAAACCAAACAGTGCCTAAGCTTAAACATAACCTCTAATAGTAATATAAACAACATTCAACACCCAGATCTAATTCAATTACTAAAATCTAGTTATAAGTTACTATGACCTCATTTATTTGTTTCATTAAATTTTAGGCAGGGTATTGCAAAATTGAAATTAGATGTCTGGCTACATACAGACTAAGCTGTCTCTTAACCTCATTTTAATTTAAATTTCTGTTGTGGTATTTGTGCAAATTAGTCCTGCAAAACTACGCAGGTTAAGTGAGTTATTATCTTTACTTTTCTTATTTTCTTTACTCTTGAATGTTTCCAGTGCAGTAGGTCTCAAAAATGAAAAATATGCATATATTTAACGTTATTTCCGTAGTTATAATTGATATAACATCTGCAAACTCCAAATTATGTTCATTAGACTGTCTACACATATTTCTGGTAAATCCAGCAGGAAGGTTGAAGGAAAGTAGCATTTTCTTCATTTTTGTGACTAAGAAGTTCATGTTAAAAAGTATTATAGTCATTTTATTTTGCATTAGCTATATATCATTCAAAAATAGTTGCTGTTTGTCTCTTATTACCTATTATTATTACTTTCATTAGTATGTTCTTAGTATGGAACTTTGAACTGCTTGAATTGTTTTTTGTACGACAAGGAAATATTCAGACCTTTTTAGATCAGTCCCAAATTACAGATCTTGACTCACTTTTATGGCAAGAGAGGCCAGTGAAAACATCTGGCTTATCTTTTATCGTTTTCCCATGTTCGAACATCGCCTAAGTGAGTATCCTGGGAGTGGATTGACGGACAATTTATTAAAACAAATATCTCTTTAAAAGTATTTGATTTATGAAGCTAATATTTTAACAGCAGTGGTTTGTATATATATATGAAAACTTTGGAGCTTAACACTTTTAGGCAAAATGGAGACAGTTGAGCAGGAAATGTAAAAAAAAAAAAAATTATGAATTGAGATGGAATGTTCTATTTTTAGTGGTATGATTAAAGTAATCGCACATCGGGAGCTAACAGAAAAAGTTATGTTTTTAGAGGTCATAAAGTGATATCAATCTTTCAAAGCCTTTTAATTTCCCCTTTGTGTAGATCAGAAGATCAGTAGCTGTTGTTATTCCTTTTGAAGTCAAGGATTTGACTCTAAACTATTTTATTAGGTTTAAACTCACAGTCTTGGGCACACCATGCAAGTTTTATATATTCTAGTTTGTGTTCTCTTCTTAACATATCCCAGATTTTCAGCTGAGCCTTGATCCATGGATTTTGTGACATTTTAAGAGTTTTCAGCCAAGTGTAGCTCCTTAAGATCCTTGTTGCATTTGCACGCAGAATATGTTGCTATTGAGACGACTGGTTAGTATATTTGATCAAATATGGCAAAACAGAGACTTTCTGTGAACTATGTAACATATAAGAATACAAAATATATGTAATGTTTATTAGCATTAGCTCCCCAAACCGGCAGTACCACTTGCTAGAAAACGACGTGCTTATTGGCTGAAGAGAGAACATGATTCCACCCTAGTGGCCGACTTTCACTGTCAATCATATTGTACGTCACACATCCGGATGTGTTTTCTTTAGCATTAGCAACAGTCATCAGAAACACAATTGTTTTCCCGTAACTGAGAAGTTATTTTCCGCTCTCTTACTTTTCTTCTTCTCGTCATTTGTCGTCGAGTCGTCTGACGGCGGCTGTGTTTCTTCTTTCTGCGTCTCTGTTGGGGACTCTGCAGTGTCAGACATCTTCGGTTCACCACTCCGGGTTACTTTATGGTTTCCAACCACCTCAACGTTTGCTTAGCAGCGGCGGCTATTGGCGCAAAAGAAGCGTCAATCTCTACAGCTCGCAATACTATTGGTCAATAATCGCTCCCAGGAAGGCAGCGCCTGTCAAAGAAAGGCTGAAGCCGAAGTTGAACTCCGTGGTCTTCTTAGCTTCGTGCTAGGTTAGTTTTTATTTTTTTTACATCCGACTATAGATGCTAATATATTAACTCTTTAATAACAAATTTACTTGTTTATTTATTATTAGGTAATATGATTACATATACGCAATTCTGTCTGCAATATTAAATTCGGTCGTTCTTTTTTCTATTACAAGTAAAACATGTAAATATTTTATTTGGTTTACACAGGCGACGTCACATGGGAAATAATACTTTAACCTGACAGTTAAAGTTTCTGCAGTCCCCTTCAGCCTGTTACCCACTACTCTTTACCTCACCTCTGGACTATTAAAGCAACAAGAGTAAGTGACATTTCTTATGCTTTAATTCGCTAAAACGAGCATGATCTTAGCAAATTCCTTTGAGTCTAGCTGTCTCTGAGTTGTCACTGGTCCCTTTGTTATGAAACAGTGCAATATCAAAGAAGGAAATAATGTCCTACAAGGAAGAAAATGCACCATTTTAGACTCATGCTGACAGGTTAGCTAGAGTCTATGATTGTCCAAATAATGGTTAAAGACAGCAACAAGCAGCTGTCCCACAGTTGTAAGCTATAAACTTATAAACTTAAAGTTTCACCTTTATAAATTTTACTTCAAATTTCTCTGATGATAGTACAAGATGGTATTAAATCTACCTGAATGCCTTCTGTGACCTTGCTCTTGTAGTGGCAAACATTGGCAGGCTCTCCACCAAGGATGCAGTGCTTTTCCTGTGCGATATGCAGGAGAAGTTCAGACCCAACATCTTCCAGTTCACCAACATTGTCAGCAATGCAGCCAGACTGCTCCAGGTTGGTTCTCCTCATCAGCACAGTTGTCGAGGATGAATAATTTGGACAGTCTGAATCAGATTTGCCAGTTTTCTCCTCTTCTCTGACAGGCCAGTCGTATCCTGGGCATCCCCCCCATTTTGACAGAGCAATATCCTAAAGGTCTTGGGCCCACAGTACCAGAGCTGGGAGCTGAGGACCTAAAGGCCCATGCTAAAACTTCATTCACCATGATGATAGAGGAGGTGCAGAAGGAGCTGGAGGCCCTGGGGAACCCCAAACAAGCCATACTGTGTGGAATAGAGGCTCACGCCTGTATCGCTGTAAGACACAAATGTGATTCAGCATCTGCGCCGTTAAAACGAGACAAAATCTTTTCATTGACTTGGGTATTTTGAATAGAGTGACATTCAGTATGTGCCATTCTGAGCATACAATTATTCAATGAGGCACCAACTCTTTCATATTTTTCAAATGTATATTTTATATGCGAAGCATAGTTGTAGTTATCAGGAGACAATTATATGGAGACGTTAGTCTTCAACTGGATTCTCTAACATGCACAAACAATGCATGTCACATTGTGAGGGACCAAGCAGCCAAAGCAAAGAGGACACAGGCCAAAAAAGTGTCTTCAAAAAGGGTTTTCTTTATTTTAACCCTCAAAAAGTCCAAAATTAACAAAATTCAAAAACATACTTAGCAGGCCCATAAAAGAGGTCAACTAAATATAACTCTACAAAAAGGAATTTCCAAAAACTTAAACAAACAAAGTGAGACACAACTTAACTCACAAACTGACCTAATTACAAAGACACATGAGGGTAGCTTTTATAATGATTTGGCCAAACCATTTACACACAATAGGGGGGAAAACAAAAACACACTAATATTAACTAAGCACAGAATAACCTAACTAAACCTAAAACACCCCTGCTCCTGGTAAGCCCATGGTTGGTCCTGCTGAGCAGGCATTTTGTTCCCAGAGTCCTCAGCCACGCCTTTTGCCCAGACAGGACACAGCCACCGCCCAAACCCAGGTAACTCAAAGAAAGAGAAACATAATTAATATAACAAAACATTTTAGAAAAACCACACAATGTTACTATGTGCGCACCTCATAATACCAGTGTTAGGTTTAACCAAATGATTAATGAAGAAAACTGCAAAGCAAACTAATAAAGTAAAAAATGGACTAATTTACCCCTGTGTGGCTGATGCCATCACACACATCAGTATGTGTCTTATCAGTTGTTCCACAAAAGAAGCAACAAGCAGTTTATCTGTGACCCGCAGAAATGACATAAATATAATAATTTAAGGTGCACTTGGATGCATGCATTAACCGTATATTGTATCTTCATAATGTGGGCTAAGTGTTGAGTTTTAATCACAAAAACAGAGTGGTGGAGGTAATGATGTTAGGTGATTATTCATTTATTACACTGTCATTAATTAACATAAAAATGTAATTTTGTAACTGTGTTTGACTGTCTTTGCAGTTTTAGTTGACAAAACTTTCCTCCTTGTCTTTTGCTCAGTGCACAGCTTTTGATCTGCTCGAGAAGGGGATAGAGGTTCATATTGTAGCTGACGCCGTGTCATCCAGAAGGTATTGGTGTATTTGAACAGTATTTTTTCATTGCAGTAAGAGATGTCACACACACGGAATGAGTGTGCCTTGGGGAAGTTTCATGTGCACTTTACTATAACGTTTTCACTTCCCTCCTCAGCCAAACGGATCGTTTGTTTGCTCTGTCACGACTGAAACAGAGCGGAGCATACCTCACCACTACAGAGGCTGTTCTGCTGCAGCTGGTTCAAGATGCCAAACACCCCAACTTCAAGGAGGTACCTGCTACAGATGCTTCCTGTCGCCCTCCTGACTCAGTATTGTTTAGCTTAGTTTATTCAGTCAACACATATTAGATTCCATAAACAGTTGGTGGTCAATGTACAAAATAGACACTGAACAGGCTTAACCCCCTAAAAAAAACCAAACACAAAAAATGAGCAAAATACACATTTCTGTGTTTATATCATCATTATTAAAGTAATTACACAATAACTACAATATTAACACAAATTCCTTTAATGTTTTTTTTAATCCTTTTCTTTGGTGAGAAAAAAAAGAAATACACTTCAATCTGTTGCCAGTAAACCTAATTAGTTGCAAAATGTTCCTCCAGCTGTTTTAATTCCAACCCTTTGTTTTCCCCCATCCCAGCTTTTTGGAGACAGTTTGCTGTTATCAAATTCAAAATGACTTTATTCTCTTCTTGCAGTGATACAGCATGTCAGTTTAAATGTTTGATGATGTCTATGCTCAGACATGCATAAGATAATGTTTTGGCATTCAGGGGCCGAATACACAAAGGGAAAATTCAAACAGAGCTAAACATTAAAGTCACACAAAACAGACAAAAACACAAACAAAAACCAGGTGCAACAGAAATGGCCCATGCACGCTCTCTCTCTCTCTCTCTCTCTCTCACACACACACACACACACACACACACACACACACACACACAAAATAAGCTGTTGTGAGTGGTAATAATTTGCGACTTATCCCTACTGACCCTTTGTTGTAAAGGGTGCAGCAATCAGACACCTGTTTTTGTGTGTGTGAACATGCCAAAATCTATATGATTACATGACTAACCCACGTTGTAAACTGTGTTGACAGATTCAGAAGCTTCTGGCGCATCCGTCTCCTGACACCGGCCTCCTTGCTTTCTTCAGCGCTCTGTAAAGAGACCCATGTCCTGCCATTGTGTCCCACTGTAAAGAGCTGTACCAATAAAGCGATGCTGCTACTTTAAATCTGCTCTGTGTGTGTTTGTGTATATGAATCAGACCCTTGTACCTTGCATAACAGCTTGGACTTGTCTTAGTGGAAAATTCAGGTGCATTATCTGTAACCAGAACCTGACAGGCAGAGAAAAGGCTGGTGAAAGAGTAAAGAGGTGGAACCAGCTCCCAGAGGCGGTGCATAGAGTCATATCATGCAGGAGGAGGAGTGAGTGACGTCATTCTGGTAAACCAGAAAGGGAGGGGAAGCAGAGAGAGGGAGGGAGAGAGAAAAAGGAAGCTGTCGGATAAGTTTTTTGTGTGTATATTTCTCCAAAATTACACAAACTTTCACTAGCCGAAGGTATGACTGCAGCCCTGCGGGGACCGACATGCTGAGGAGAGAGACCTGAAGGAGAGGACGTACAGCAGTTTGTTAGCAGCTGTGCACAGCTGATGACAACATAAGCCATTAACACTTCTGAAGGCCTTGGGCCTCGAGTGACCATACAGAGGTAAGTAAGTCATTCTTCCTTCTCAGAAAATAACACAAGTAGTTGGAATTGGCACACATATATGCACCTATAGTCATGCTATGGCTTTGCTGGTGAGTGGAAACTTTCCCGAGCAGCACAAAGTGTCTTCTGTCTGAACTTACTGGTGTGTAATAGACGGTAGTTGGGAAGTACAGGAACAGGACTGCTGACACAGTTACAGGCAGAGGGAAATCCTCTGTGGGAGTGCTCAGTGTTTTGACTGCCTACTATATTCAGAGTAAGCAAAAAGTAAAAAGACTTGTTGATCCAGTACTTTCTCTTCTGATCCTTCAGACCCTGGACTGAGAAAAAAACAAAACAAACTAAAACTGAAAAATGTCCTCTGACTTGGACTCCAGTCTTACCAGTATTGACTGGTTGCCCCAGCTGGGAATCAGCAGCCTGCGCTCTGGGAAAGAGAGAGGAGGAGGAGGGGAGAAGGAGAAGGAGAAGAAAAAAGACAGAGGGAGGGAGAAAGGAGACTTTCTACCCTCAGTGCCGGACCCCTCCCCTTCTAACTGTAAAGGGAAACCCCCTCACAGCTATGCTACTCTAATTGCCATGGCAATAGCCGCTGCACCTGAGAGGAAACTGAGTTTAAATGACATTTACACCTGGATCAGTGACACTTTCCCCTACTACAGCCGGGCGGGCCGCGGATGGAAAGTAAGCTACAACATATTATCAGTGTGGGCGAGCAGTAATGATATGTCACTAAAGTGTAGTCAGTGTAACATCTGCTTTACTGGACATTCCTGACACATGTCATTCCCAACAGAATTCCATTCGACACAATCTGTCCCTTAATAAATGCTTCAGGAAAGTTCCTCGACCGCAGAATGACCCTGGCAAGGTGAGTTACTTCTACCTACTGTTGGAGTTTTCATCATTTGAGATTGATGACTGTTTAAAAGAGCATGAGTTCACAAACCTGTGGTGTCTTTCCAGGGTTCCTATTGGACAATGGATGGACCTTCAGACGGACATCAAGTGAGGGCACCTAAACGTTCCTATCCTGAAGAGGACGAGGAGAGAGAGGATGTATGTTTTTGGTTTTCGGGGTTTTTTTTGTGACAAACCTTTATTCTCCACCTGTCAAATACATAAAGGTTTAATGAGACCACATAAAGTGCAAACACAGATGTAAATTATAGCCCATTAATGCTTAAAACTCTTAACCAAACCTCAAGCATGTGGCAGATTATTAAAACCGCCACATTTTTCTAATTATGCCATTATTTGCAATGTGTGAGAACATTAAGATGGACTAAGATATCAGTTGTGGTATGGCTACGTCCTATGAAAAGAAGTGTACCAATGAAATTAGCCTAACATGGCAGGCTGACCTGTGCTTCCCCGGGTCTTTAAAAGTAAAATAGGAGGCAGAGTGTTCAGCTTCCGGGCCCCTCCCCAGTGGAACCAACTCTCAGTTTGGATTTAGGAGACAAACAGCATCTCTAGTTATAAGATTAGACTCAGCAAACTTTCTTTTTTGATAAAAGCTGAGAGCTAAAAGGAAGTTGTTGTTTTGTTTTTTTTTTGAAAGGAGGGAATTTCTGGCTGTAGTAGAGGTGCTCAGTCTTATTTAACATTTAATGTATATATTAGCCTGCAGGATACTGACAACTTTTTTTTTTGTTGCTGTTGAAAGTATTTATGCTGTGCTGTTACAGGTTCCTCAACTGCAGGAACTAAAAGCAGAGACAGGGCTCTCTCCTCATCAGCCTCAATCAGCTTCCCACACAGACCAACAGCTCTTTAACTCAGAGTCACTTGGAGCCATCCAGCAGCAGTCACCCCAGTCTGCCTCCCTCTCTCCTCCCCCATGCAAAGTACAGTCACTTTCTCACTCCTTTTATAAGGTTTACTTTAATTAAACAACACCTTGCTCTTCATAACACCTTATTCTTATCTTTACAGCAACCATCTCCCTACATGCCCACCTCTGTCTCCAGTGTCCCTGTCCCTCATCCATCCGTCTCGCCATCAGCGGTGCTCCCACCTGCAGCCCCTATGTCATCCATCACTTCTTTCCCACCTTCTCACCCACCTGGCCCCACTTTCACCATCCCCCCTGCTTCTGCTACACCTCTGGCTCCTGCCAACATGTCTACAGCGTCTCCAGCTGCTCCCTCCTTCTCTGACGCTGCGCTGTCTTTTCCTGTGACTTCAGACCCTGTGTCTGTTCCCGCTTTCTCCTGCGCGCCTGATCCGACAGCTGTTCCCATTTGCATTGTCTCGGGACCCAATCACTCATCCGAACTGACTGTCCCATCATCAGCCGTCGCCCCTCCCGTCGTTTCAGTAAACCCCCCTACTGATCCCTTGCTGCGTTTCACCTTTGACGACCTCAACTTACCTGATCTTTATGCGTCTTTCAAGTCTCTGTTCAGGACAGTGCGCGAGAGGGGAGGCTCGCAGTGTAAGTGGCATGTGTGTATCTGTGTTTTGACTCTGTACAGTTTAGATTCTGCATAGATGGATTGAAGGAATTGCCTCTTTTCTTTCCAGCGGATATAGTTCCTCTGGCGATCCCAAATAATGACATTACCCCACTTCACACTCCAACTCTGCTACCCATGTCCCCCCATCCTGCAACCGCACAAATTGCACCACCTGCATTGGCTGCACCAGCTGCACATCCTGCCGACACTGAGCGCATTTCACAATTAAGTAAGTCTCATGTGACTTTCTCAAACCAGAAATGCATAAACTGTATAAAAGTTCAATGCTTCTAAAGTTGCCTTCTTGCCTTCCACTTGTAGCGGTGCCGGCTGACTGGTTCAGTAACCCAGATTCTCTGAAGGAGAGTGTCCGCATTGCCAGCAACTTAGACTGGGCAAACATAGACCTTACTGGTCACCCAGGTCTGTTTTGTTCTTGTTTAAATGGGCACATTAATCAATCATCAGGGTGCATAGATCTGTGGAGTTTAGAGTCTTGAGGACATGGGTAAAAATGTTTAATCAGCCAGTTAATAGAGTGATTGGAATTCAGTCATTTTGATTATTTATTCATCATTTAATTTAATTATTATTATGTTTTATTTTGTCTTTTCTGGTTTCACCTTTATCTTTGTCACATGTAACACTGAAGTATTTAGTTTTGTATTTTGGAGTGATGGCTACATAAAGCGAGCAGTTAGAAGATTTCATGGCAGGCCTGTAAAAAGGAGATTAGGCTATTTTTCACAAATGATCAGCTGATTAGTAAAAGTAATTAATGTCCTAAATTACAGTCCTCTTTCACTGCGACCATTTGACATGAAATAGTGGTTAAACACAGACATGTTTCTGTGCTACGTACATTGGTGGGAAAACAAAAGATTGCAAAGAGTCCTCTGAAAAACCATGCACACATTTACAACTTCCATAGGATAAATATCATCCCTACACTTTTAATTAAATACACTTGATTAACTGATCCTAATCAAACATTTTGGAATTTTGTTTGTCTGAATCATTCAGACAATCTCACAAACTTCCAAGAAGTGGACGTCCCAGCAAATTCTCCCCCAGGTGCAAGACTCAAGAACTCTGAGAACTACATCTCAGGCTCTACTGGCCTCAGGACGTTAAATGTTAAAGTTCACGGCTGTAAAATCTGAAAAACACTGAACAAGTATGGCTTGTTTAGAAGAGCTGCCAGGAGAAAGAGTCTTCCCTCTAAAAAGAACATGACAACGCAGCTTATGAATGAAGAACCAAGGTTCAGTCAGACCTCAACCTGACTGAAAGGCTGTTTCATGTTAAATGGCTGCTGTGAAAAATGGCTGTCTGCAGACTGTGTGCAAGTTATTATTAAGCCAAGAAACAAGAGTTGTCGTAGCTATATTCCTCCAGTGTTTTTATTGTCATTTGGGCGGCCTGACTCTTTAGAAGTTAGACCAGAACATCATGCACACTAAACAATCAATCCAATCCAGTGAAAGCTTTGCTGTATTTTGTAAAGAAAGGCCTGTGATGTTTCATATTATTCTTAAAAAGCCACAGCTGGACCTTCGTGCTCTGATCTGCTGCTTCATTTTATATTTGCAGACCTTGTTCAGAGCATGAGACAGGCAGAGCTCTGCGACTGGGCTCTGGACCCGGCGGTCTTCACTTCCCTCTGCGACTCTCTGAACCGCTTCTTCACTCAGAAAGGCATGATCACCCCTGGGAATAACTCCCCTGTAGCCCCTGGTCCCCCTCAACCCTTACCAGCCTTTAACTTCAACCCACCCCCTACCCTCTCCAGCCTCACTCAGCCCTCACCCCTTCCCTACTCTTCAATAGCTCCCCCTGCCAATGGTGCACAACCACCGCGGCGGGCTCTGCCCATGCAGGGACCAGGTCTTCAGAGACCACAGCTAACACAGCCTGCAAGCACAGCCGGTGAGACCTGGACTTAAAAACACATTTTCTTCTTTACTTTTATGAAATAAGACAGGATGGGTTCATATTTTCCCCAAGCCTGCTTTAGAATAATCTTCCAGATCAGTGACATGTTTGTGCTATGAGAGCTATTTATGGAAACACTGAATTAAAAACAGTTTTTCTCCTAAGATTGAACAGATTGAACAATTGTTATAAATCTGGACAGCAGGTTTTGTCTGTTTAAAAGAAGTTGTTTAGATAGAAAAATATGATTTGACATTCTCTCACTTCCTTCTTGTTATATACTCAGTCCACGTGTCCTCTTTTTTTCCTTCTCAGCTGGGATTCATCCTCAGCCGATGACGCCACGACAGCGTCCCCCACTAAAGAATCTGCACAGCAACAGTGAGGAGATCCAGGACGACTTTGACTGGGACTCTCTGATTGTTTGACCCTCTCGCTCTGTGTGGAAACCCCAAAATGTTTTCGAGAAAATACTCTACTCTTTGCCGAAGCTGTCTCACTCTGTTGTACATGTTTAAAGCTTCTTTGACAGCAAGTATGGGATCGAGTTTGTCACATATGACTGAATGCCCCCCCGAGGTTCAAATAGTTATTTTTTCAATATTACTCAAATTCATATGCTGTAATACTGTTTGTTTAGCATATCCTATGTAGGTAGTTGGGAGGCTGGTGTCTATTGGATTGTAAAATACAGAACTGTGTAAAAGTCTTGAGCCTCACCTCATCTCTTTATGTTTTTCTTCCAAGGAGCCAGGCTCTTGTAAAAGTGCTCTTGAGCAGTAGTTCTCCAAGATTTCTGAAGGTCTTTCAGAGCTTTTCTTTGGACATTGGCTGCTTTTTTTTTTGATAACTCGTTTTCAGTCAAGTCCTTGTACCTGACCATTTTCAGAGGAATGTTTTTTTTGTTTTTGGTTTAGCTACTTAACACTGACCTTTAAATCATTAAAAAGACACCAAACTCAAGGGATGAACCAGTGTTGTCTACACATAACTTATAAAGAACTCAATTTAAGTTGCATCTTTAGGCTCTTTGTTACTTGCTGCCTGTCACAGATAGGGATGGGTATCGTTTAGGTTTTATCCAATACCAGTACCAAACCGGTACTTTTGAAACGGTGCTTAAACGGTGCTCAAACCGGTGCTTAAAGAATGGAGAACACAAAATTGGTCCTAAAACCTCTCCTGTTCAGCTGTTTTTTTGTAAAAAGATAACAATGTTAGCCTTTTCTGCAGCTATAGGGCATATAAGGTATCACTCTTGGTTGGAAGCAGTGCTTAAACAATGGAAAAAACACAAACTTTATCCAAAAACCTCTCATGTTTAACTGTTTTCCACTTTTTCTTTGGTCATTTTAGCCTTTTTGGCCAGGGTGAAGGGAGTATCTGCCATCAAACAAGAAGACAGCTGCATGTAACTACGACGGTGTTTGCTAGTTCACCTTACATGCATTAATGTAATAACGTGGTGAGCCTACTCAACGTAAATTACACACGAACAACATTAAGCTACCCACGCAGAGAAGAATGGCTGCTGCTGCCATCATCATCCGTCATCATTTCTGCTACATTGGCAGGGCTAGGGGCCAGGACTCTACTCTTTGGGTTTTTGAGGGATGTTGCTAACTCCAGGTCCGATAACAGGCACCATACCCGCAGTAGATGTGCTCGGTGTGAGGTCTCGCAGCAAGCTATCAAATACGGCGCATTTCTCGGCTTTTAAAAAAACGCTATGCTTCGCCAGATGTTTCATCAGATTCCAGGTGTTACCTCCTTTGACAGTATCACAGTATCAGCTTAAAGCACTTGTTGCAGCTGCTGAGTTTGCATCTTTTGCTGTGAAGTAAGCCAGACTTTTGACCGCTTCGCCTTGGGCATTTTTAATCTGTAGCTCTACTCTAAAATAACGTATGTACCTGGGCCCGCCTACTATCCTTGGAAACGTAAAATGATTGGCTAGAATCTAAAGTGTATCACGTCTCAGGAAAAAAAAAGCACCGAAATAAACCACCGAAATGTGCGCTGTTTTTCGGTCTGGTTACTAGTACCGTTTATGTCAGAACCGGTGCCATCATGGCACCGGATACCGGTACCCATCCCTAGTCACAGAGCTATTTTACTACTTGGCATGGTGTGTTCTTAAAGAAATCTGAGGAAACTGGACAAAAGAAGGAAGTAGCAAACCTAAAAGAAAATCTTCCAGCAGATGGATGGTATCTGAAAGTCATATCCTTAAAAAACAGGCGAAAATCCAGCAAAGACCTGACACAGAGATACATTAGACTTCAGCTGATCCATCCAAGAATAGGGATGGGTATCGCTTAGGTTTTATCCGATACCAGTACCAAACAGGTACTTGTGAAACGGTGCCGGTGCTTAAACAGTGCTCGAACCGGTGCTTAAAGAATTTAGAACACACACTTTGTCCAAAAACCTCTCATGTTTAGCTGTTTTTTTGTAAAAAGATAACAATGTTAGCCTTTTCTGCAGCTATAAGGCATATATGGCATCACTCTTGGTTGGAAGCAGTGCTTAAACAATGGAAAAAACACAAACTCTGTCCAAAAACCTCTCATGTTAAACTGTTTTCCACTTTTTCTTTGGTCATTTTAGCCTTTTTGGCCAGGGTGAAGGGAGTATCTGCCATCAAACAGGAAGACAGCCACATGTAACTACGACAGTGTTTGCTAGTTCACCTTACATGCATTAATGCACTCATTTCCCATTTTCCTACTCAAATAATGAAACAAAATTTTAGTCACATTATTGGAAGAACGAAAAAGCAAAAGACATTTCGTGTTTTTGTTTTATTTCATAAATTTCTTCTGATTTTTTTCCATTTTACTTTTCAAATGTGAATGTTCACAGTCAACACCACACAAAATTCCACCTTACCCGATAAAAGAGATATTCTTCTTGTTGATATAAAATAACAATAAATTCATCAAACTAAATTAAAAGAACAGCATGAAAAGCATATTGTCGAGTCCCAGTTTTATCTCCTTCCATTTGCTGAAATAATTGTCTTTTTTTGTTTATTTCTTATTTTTAAAGAAGCATCAGTTGCCGTCCCTCTCCAAAGGAAAGGGGGATGAAACACAAGGACAGTGCGGCTCTGGGACACCTGCATGCCAGGAATCCCATATGAAATGTGTGATTAAGAAAAACTGCTTTTAATTACTGAAAAGAAGAGTGTGAAATATGATTGGCAGGGAAAAACAAAACAAAACAAAGGTGACCCTTATAACACCTCATTTGAAATCCCCACATTACATCTTATTATTACAACTTCCAAAAGCAAAAATAATCAATGTGGATTCTTCCTTTCTGAGTCACTGAAATGAGATCAGACACGGGGAAAAAAAAAAAATGGAGACAGACACATACAAAGACATGAACATTTGAACAATTGCGTACTTGCACACTCAAAAATGAGCATTTGTGTTGTCATTCGCAGTTTGCCACACACACACACACACACACACACACACACACACACACACACAC